TTCTGTACCATCAAAAAAAAAAAGAGGTAAATGATTCATCCATTTTGATAATATCATTACTTCTCCATTTCCTCCAGGATAAGTCATTGCTTTTTATTGACTATTTTTGTAAAGAGGAGAAACTTCAAGGCTCTTCTTAGAACTATTGCTGTTACCTCACAGGGCAGAGAAGCAGTGGGTGAATTCCTTCCATCTCTAAAACTGTGCATTTCAACTTCTTTTAGGAGTTGGGGAATAATTGAAAGTGGGTATGGTGGTCTCATCGAACACACAATGACTCATAAACTAATCACCTGTCACCTAGGTCTTTGGCTATGGCACTCAGGGACATAGTTTAAATTTTGAGCTATTGCTTGAGGACAGAGAGGTGCGTATTTCCCATTCTCTGATATTCTCTAAAAGGCTTCATTTTTGGGGAGAATAGGAGTAATATTCCCAGTATGCCTGTGAAATATAGTTGGTGGGACCATTGCTCTCCTCCTTGAGGAGTTCTAAGAAGTGGCTCTGCTACTGGACATGAATGAGGTGTGCAACTTTATTAGGGTGGCTCAAAACTGCTTTGGAGTATTGGAGGATTTTTCTTATAAGATTATACAAATCAAATGTAAATTCAAGGTTGTAATTCCTTCCTAAAGACTCCACGATCAATCTCTCAGATAAATGATTAAACACTATGACTTTAATAAATTCTGCTACTTCTCTGGGTACTGGGGGCAGGTGTGGAAGTGGACTTACATGGTTGTGTTCGTTTTATTCTCCAATGTATTTCCCAAAGTTTTGAAGAAAATGCTGCCTTATCAGTTGTAACTAAGGATTTTACAAAACAGGAAGGAGGCTCAGATAAGGATAAACTAAAAAAGAAAGATACAAACCTAAAACAAATCACAAAGACCGCAGACATTAAGAATACCCTCATTGTTTCCTTAACCCCAACAATGAACCAGAGCCACTTTAGTAGAGGACAAAATATGCATTCTTTTTTTCTTCTTTGGTTACCCCTTGACTTTCAAGTTTCTAATAACATAAGAGTTTAGAACTGAAATTATTGTGCCATGTTACATAGTTTCTTTTAATATGTTTATCGTTTATATTATACTTTGGAATAAAATACACCTATTATATTTTCTTCAAACTATGTGTTGTAAAATCATTTTACTTTTTTTTTTTGACAAGCATGGACAGAAAAAAAAATAAAAGTAAAAACAGAATGAAATAAAAAATAATAGAATGCATTGCATGCACAATATAATGATAAGTACTTTTTGTGATGCTTTTGTTTCTTTTCATATACAGTAAGATACAATAAAACACTCCACCATTCTTTAGATTTAACACAATTTTAAATCTCATATGGTAGACAGTTTACATATGCATATTTACTTTTAAATTTATATTTAAAAGACCCTGTCTCAGTTGGGTCATATAGGCAAATATGATTTTCAAGAAGAGTACATACATGTTATTATTTTCTAAACTTGTCTACCTCAGGATAATTTTAGTTCTTTAACAATGGAAATGTAACTTTTTCATAACCCTTTTCCATGAAGATACCGTGCCCCGATGGTGCCCTTTCATCCATTGACTTCTGGGAATTATACTGTGGATAACTCTAAGCTGTCATTTTCTCATTTTTACAATAATGTGTGTGTGTATGTGTGTGTTCACGCTGTAGAATTTTTTCTTTTGTCTCTGCTTTTAAAAATATTCAATTGAATAGATATTTTAATTGATTTTTATTTTTAAATGTTTTAATTTAATATTAATCTTCTTGGTTAATTTTTAACAAATGTCTAGGAGTAAGTATCTTTTCTTTTGATCCGTCTGCCTTTTCCATTTATGTAAAGAGGGATTTCTTCCAGGAACCCCAGTGGATGCTTAAAATAATGGATAGTATCAAACCCTATATATAATCATTTTCCCGCACATACATTCCTGTGATAAAGTTGAAAATGCTCACCTTTTTACTTAAAGAATTATTTTTATGCTGGATGGTGCATGCCTGTAATCCCAGTGACTGGGGAGGCTGAGGAAGGAAGACTGTACCTCAAAGCCAGCCTCAGCAACTTAGTGAAGCCCTAAGACACTTAGCAGGATCCTGTTTCAAAATAAAAACTAAAAAGATCTGGGTATCAGGCTCAGTGGTTTAGCACCTCTGGCTTCAATTCCCAGTGCAAAGAAAAAAAAAAAAGAACATCTCCAAAGAAGAATATTTTATGACTTCTCCTTTGTGTACATGAATTGCCATGAATTGCCAGCATGATTATTCTTGTGCTTTGGAGTCACTATTAAGCAAAATAAAGGTTATTTCAGCACAGCATTGTGATACCATGGCAGTCCACCTGATAACTGAGATTGCAGCTTAGGGACTAATGGACAAGTAGCATATCCAGTGTGGATATGCTGGACAAAGGAATGATTCACATCCCAATGGGGGGTAAAGCACGACCGTGTGAGAGTTCATCATACTATTCAAAACAACCCTCAATCTAAAACTTAGAAATTATTTTTGGAATTTTCCATTTAATATTTTAGATGGTGGCTGATGGTAGGTAACTGAAACCAGAGGAAAGTAAAACCACAAATAAGGGGGTACTACTGTACTCATGCTTTTATTTCGAATTACATTTTCAATGATTGCAATTACACACTCAAATTATTCATCCATCCATTCAATTTCTCCCTTTGCTCCTCAAAATTATCAATTGTAAATTAGCATTAAGATCTTGAGTTAGTCTCTCATGCCTCCTGTGTCCATGCAGTATCAATCCAACAGTATGACCTATCTCAAAGACTCACTGCTGTTTGCAAAAGAGTCTGGTTAACAAGTTGAACTTCATGAGAGGTCAGATTCCAGAAAGAGGCAGTGACCCTGATTTCAGAATAGGAGTTCTCACTGGAAGTTCACAAACTCTTCCTGGATCCTGTTTGCTCTCCTTGGCTCAGTATTGCCTGGTGTTTTCTTGCCCAATCTTATCTCAGGTCACTCTCCCCTCACTTGTGTGCTCTTGTCCTCAGTGCAGTCCCTGAACAAGCCTGGGTGGACTTTGCTTCAAGGAGTTTTGCACAAGCTTCTCTCTTTCCCTGAAATCTCTTCTTCCAGATTCTCTCTGGACTGGATTCATATTAAAAGTATGTTTAAATGCCACCTCTACAGAGCAGCCTCCTCTGAACTGCTGGTCACACCTCTTTGCACCATCCTCAGGTGTTAGAATTTCTTGCTTTTGAATGTTTTCTGTCTGATTCTCCTTAGATCTAGGAAAGGACGTTATCTATTTAATGATTGAAGCCCTTAAGTCTTCATACTTCCTGAATGACTGAGTATCCCCTTAAATATGAATAGGTCTAAAAATAAAATTATTTGGGCAAAACACTTGAAATTATGTGCATATATATTTTATAGCTTTATAGTCTTATTTCTAATATATAATTATCAGAGTTTGCATATTATCTCAGAGAGATTACATTTATCTTCTGAAATATTATTTCTTTACACAAACTAAAACTAAGCTATATTTAATATTTCATATTTTTTAAATACAGGGTCAATACTAGGACCACTTATTTCAATAGTATCTGTGAAACCTTTGCAAAATTACATTAGCATCTGTTACAAAAATTCGACAAATATCACCCCATATCTTTTACTCCATCTGTAACAAATCTAAAGGATTTTTTTTTTCTGGACTTAAAAATATATGTTTTCTTTGCCAAATGTGTGTGTGTGTGTGTGTGTGTGTCCTAATATATTTCCCTGAACATGTCTTGCTTCCAAGAGCTTTAAGGCAAACCAATTCAAACATATTGTAACCAGGTCCCCTTCTGTTCTCAAAATCATCTAATTATTAAGTTTTAGGCGAGCAAATAGTAACTAAGTCACTTTCAGAATCAATGAATGTGAAGGACCACCTCCATAAAACAATACACATATGCAAAAATATACATATATAGCCATCCCTAGCGTCTTCAGGGAGGGGATCAATTCCATGAACTCCCTGGGATACCCAAATCTGCAGATGCTCAATTCTTTCATGTAAAATGACATAGTATTTACATATAACATATACATATCCTCCTTTATACTCTAAATCATCTTTAGACTACTCATTATGCCTAATACAAAGTAAACATCATGTATATATTATACTATATTGTTTAAGTGTGTGTGTGTGTGTGTGTGATGAGTGACTATAATTTTGGTAGATTCATAGACTCTACCAAGTTTATTAACTAATCCAAAGTAAGAGCATCTGCTTTAGAGAAGATTGTTATCTTATCCTCAAGTGTTTTCATTTGTATAATTTGTAATCAGTCTGTAAATTTTTAAGAAAGAACAAAGGATCTGACTTGAATTCAAGTAAGTGATTTCAGCTTTCTATAAATCTGTCTTATCAAAGACATCACATAACCTTGAAAACAAGGTTGAGAAGGCTAGATAACTTATTATTCAATCTTTATTCATTTCCACAATTATGGATACACACAAAGTTATAGCCCCAAAGGGATAAAGATGAAAACCACTAGAAGGTCTCTGCAAGGTGTTATAGTTTTTGTCCTACTGTTTAAGATTCCACAATAATTGTCTCAGTTTGGAGCAAACAGATAATAAACCATGTTCTTTCTCAAAGTGGCCAGTGAGTTGGACTATTGCTAGCACAGTGACAAGTAGGTTTTCATTATTTTGAACACTGATAAAATGAGTCTCATGAGTGTTCTTCCCAAACTAGCATATGCCCTTTAATATGAGCATGTCAACATTGTTACAGATGCAAGTCTGTCTTGCTTTAGATTGACTAATCTCATTACCTGTACTTTGAGAAAAAGTATATTACATGGTGGATTTTCCCAGGTTGACTAAATTTGAATCTGTATACTAACTTACACTTTATTGTATGTAATCCTTAAACTTCATATAAACGTAACAGATGATATTTATCTTACCAGTATTTTATGCATTTTAAAATATTAAACTTTGAAATAAAATACATTTCTAAGTTAATAAATAGGGCAATCAAAACCTTTATTTTTCTCATTTGACTGAAATAATAAACCAAATGAACAAGAATGGTAAGAAAAGAATAAACCATTATTTCTCAGAAGGTAAGGTCTAGAATACTATGAAAAAAAAATGCACCTTGCTAAAAACTAAATGGCAGAGTCAATGCATTTACCTTTGAAAAGTGAACTATTCATTGTCTTCAGGCTTCCACTTAGGATCTTAGACTGGGAGTACATAGTCCCCACACAGATGATCTTCTGGTTTTGTAATGAAAGAAAATGGAAGAATCTCTCTGGAAGGAAAACTTAGGTCATTTCTTTCTCAAGCCAAATTGATTCCACAGTGTATGTGGAGCACATTAAGAGTTCTATCTTTCTTTGCAAGAGTAAAAACAGGTTCCAAGTAAAATAGTCTAGTTATTATAAAATCAAAAATAAGAATGGAATATTTAAAATTATAACTCACTTAACCAGTGAAAACTGAACACATATCTTCTTTAGTCAGGGATTTGCAGTCACATTTGCATATTATATTTAGCCAGCAACTAAATTTTAATTTTTAAGTAGGAGACATTTAAATATAATTATCAGCAAATAACAGAATGACAAAGCTACAAAAATTCATGAAGTTCAAGGGAAACAGCATCCTTTAGCCATACCAAGACGTGTTCTCCCAAGAAAGTAGGAAAGGAAGGGGTCTGCTTCACTTTCCTCATGCTGGCCTCCAAGGCAGAATTTCTAGAAACAACATTCCTTTCTGATGATAGAATAATGATGACAGAGGAGTAGATGTCAAAACCAGAGTATGCATTCTTCAGAGTCAAGAGACCCTCAAACCTCAATAAACACCATATTTAAAGGTATGTTCAACATAGTAAATTCCAACATAGCATACACATAACAAAGCTCATTTATCAGAGACAGATACAATTTTGAATATGCATTTTTCCAGAGGAAAGCAGAGGACAACAGAGACCATCTGCAGCTGTCAAACCTGTGGAAGTGAAACAATGCACTGCAAATTTATACAATATATGAATTATAAATGAAAAACAAACACTATTAAAAGAAGTTGGTTGGTGGCTCAACATATAGACATTCATATGTATATATTTTATATAGCATGATAAAAATCAGCTTGCATGAAGGTTGTAGTATATCTACTTTGAAGTTATATCACACGTACTATAAGCAATTTACAGAATTTGTTGGGTTTGCATATACAGGAATTGCAAAATGAATTGAAATATAGAACACTGAAAATGTATTTATATAAACCTCCCAGGATTGACGGGGATTGGCCATTATCAGCACTTGCCACCATTGAACAAGAAAAAGAAGAAAAAAAATCCAAGAAAAAAGAAGTTTTAAAAAAATTTCTTTGATTATTCCTCGTTTAAAATAATGTTCTCCTTGTTGACTCAAAATGTTGATAATTTTGCCCACAAAAGGGTTTTTTTTTTTTTGTTTGTTTGGTGATAGTTTGTGTTCTGTTGAATTTTGATCTCTGTTTGCTTCCTGCAGATAGTGGGTCCTTTAGTAGGAAATCAGTGGTATCCATAGTAAATATTTACTATACCGATGACTTTCAGGCCAACCCCTGAGCAGTCAGTGAGATGATGAATTTTTTTTTATTTTTTGTTTTTTGCGGAAAGAAAAGGAAAAAAAAAATAGATCTTGCTATTAGAAAATGTCCTATCACTTCACACTAATTGTCTTGAAAGAAAAGATCAGGTGTGATTTGCCAAAGAAAATATTATCAACAAAGCATGTGATAGCCTCTTCATTTATGGTTCCGGAAGCAGGCGCTCCTTGTGTAGGTAATTAGAGTACAGAGGGTGCGGAATGATGCTTGGAGTTTAGGGTCAACTTTGCTGTCCGCTCCGTAGATTTTACAGGCGATTTGCTCTTTGCTTTAAGAAGAGAAAGTGATATTGGAAAAAAGTCAGCACTTTAGATTAAAGCAAAGCACCCTTCACAAAGCCACAAACAAGAAGCAGGACAGAAAGTCCATGGCTTGTAGCTATCCTCGCACCTGCGGAAGAAGTTATAAGATATTCGCTCATCTTGAAGATTTCCAATGCTCCTTATTAGGCTGTTTTAAACACATACATATATATATTTAATTAGCTCGCCAGCTTGGCTCTGGTGCTCATGAATGTCTTGGCATGCACTGCAAATAACAACACATACAAAGTATTTCAGTCCCAGGAAGTTGGTGGCGTTTGTTTTGTCTGTTTTCAAACAATGCCATCTCATGGTAGGGAGGTCTGAGAAGAATCCAAATACGTTCCCTCAAGGAATTCCTTGAGGATCATTCCCTATAATCATTTACTTGTTCCTATCGTGGCATCTAAAATCACATGCCCCCTTGTCCTAGAATTAGCATAAAACCACAGGAAAAGCAGAAAAACTGACAGCAGCAGGCTGCTCAACTGGGAGAGAGGGATGCATTGGAGGAGGTGCCTCTGGGCTTTACATTTAGGGTCAGATCTTTCTCAGTTACCTGTCCTTCAAGTTGGAGGAGGTGTTAGTACTATCAAGAACTAGAAATTCTTGAAAGAGTTCCATCACTATCAAAGGGGAGGAATTAAATTGTACTTTTGCATTTTTTTTTCCTTCACATATTCTCTCCAATGAACTACTAGGTATGAATGACATACAGAACCAAATGTCATTTTGTTAGTGAAAAACAAAAATGCAATGGGGCATAGAGCCTTTATTTTCTGTCTTGATGGGAGATGGGTAAAAAGACTTTGAAGGGAAATAAGCATGGGGAAGCTCAATTTTTAAAATATTTCAGTTAAATCATGTTTGATTCCATAGTGGCAATGATAAAAATTGTGGAACAACCCTTTGCCACTCAAAATGTCACATTAGAATTAGCATTTGGTACTTGAAAATGGACATTTAGTGACTCACATTACCATTTTTCTGCTAGGCTTTTAGATAGTGAAATTTAAGAACCTAAAATACTGATATTGGTCCTGTATTATTTAAAAATTGTTCACCATTATAATCCTCATTCATATGTATACTATTTGCACAAAACATAACTTAAGTATTGTCATTGATTGACTTTTTGGGAGATGGCCTGTGTATGTAATATATCTCCTCCAGACACCTAACAACTGAAGACCCAGACCTTAGTGTTGGGACTCTGAGGAGTATTCCCATATTCAAGCTGGATAACAAGGTTCAGAAATACAAAGTGATGTTTCAGTCTATGTGTAGCTCTAAGTACAAAGACCATTCAAAGAAAATACACACAATCTGTGTAGAACCACTAGCTTAAGAGCTTTCCAAAATTAAGCATATATTCCTGTAAGCTTTTGATGAAAGATTCTTTAACAAAGATTCATTTGATGAAAAAGAGAAGAAAGGAGAAAAAGAGAGATTAGTACACGGCTTCTTAAGTAGCCACTGGCCCTTAATATTTTGCACAAAATATGTCTGGTATTGGAGAAAATATTTAAAACAGTTGAAAACAATAAAATTGGGCAGAATGACGTAGTCTTTTAAAAATATTTTGTGAAATAGTAGTTTCCTCTTCAGCTTGTGCATTGCAGATTAGCTCAAATTTGCTAAAATTGCACATTTTATGTTGTTTCTTTCTTAACTCATCAACTTTTCATATGATATGCCTGGCCCCATCATCTCTATAAATATTGAGGGAGAAGCTGCTTCATTTTGACCCAACATTTCCTATTATACATCCAGCAAGTGCAAGTTAAAGCATAGTTTCAATGGGAAAGAAATCCCGTTTTATACTGTGAAGAATTTAAGGCTACTAAAATTCTGAACTGCCTTCAGCTATGCAATCAACCATTTTTTTAGGATTGTGTACAACCACTCTGGGCGTATTTTTAAGTGGAGAATTTATTTCTGTTAGGATAATTACAAAACATTTTTCCAATGTAGTAAATTCTAAGGCAAATCTGTATTGTCATCAAATCACTCATTAGTTTTTTCTTTTTCTCTGCTTTTTCATTTATGTCTTGAATGACGAGAGGCTTACTCCCAAGGCTTTTAGACAGTGAAATTTAAGAATCTAAAATGCTGATATTGGTCCTGTGTAATTTAAAAATTAATCACCATTATAATTTTCATTCATATGTATACTACTTGCATAAAACATTATTATTTATCAAATATATTATGGTCTAATTATTTTGAAATATGATTTTGTCAAGAACCAACTTTGGCTACTCATGCTTTATTCTTATTTTTACATAAACATTCCACTTATGTGAAATAATGAGAGCCAGGATTGCTGTCAGGAGCCTTGAGTGCTACTTTCTTTGGATAGCAGTCACTTCTGAGCTCTCAAATAAGATACTTACTTCTTCTATGTTTTCTAACACAAGCTTAAACATTCTGTATTGCTGTTTGTTTTCATATCAGTAAGCCACATCATTATATCAAAATAAGTGAGCCTATTTTGTTTTATTTGGTTTCTTTTGCTCTATGTCCAGGCCAGATAGATAATCTGTTATCTCCTGAAGGAGATCATACATTTAAGCAACTATTGCCCTCAGATAACCTGCCCTCCATTTTATCTATTCTTACCAGCTTGTGGAATCTCTCTCTTTCTTCTGAATTTCAGCAGCATTTTGGTTTTGCCTCTCTTGTGACCTTCACCTGGACTATATTGCTTTTAATTCATTACAGTCATGTCTTATCCTTTGGATCACACATTAAAAGAAAGGACTAAAGTGTTTAGCATTTTTTCAAATTACTCTCTGTATCTATAACAAGGCTTTGAGTTGTTTTTTTTTTAACTTTTTCCCCCAACATAAAATACCCTGGGAAGAAGAAGGGAGAGATGCTATTATCTCAATTAAGTAAAGAAAATGTTTATGTAGCATGCCTGGGCCTAGAGATTTCTCCTGGACTCCTAACGCCATTTAATTATGCTCCTCAATTAGATGCTCTATTCTGTTTTTATGCCTAAAGATTTTCACAGTGTGCTCTGAGGTGTGATTCCCCATGTCTTTGTAAGGTAGGGGAGGTGTTTTCTCCATTTTGTAGATGGAAAGGAATAATCTAAGAAGTCTTAGTACAGAAATAAAGCTTCGATTTCTCATCCTTTTTTTTCTTTTCTTTTCTTTTTTTTTTTTGTGTGGTGCTGGAAATTGAACCCAGGGCCTTGTGCATGCAAGGTAAGCACTCTACCAACTGAGCTATATTCCTAGCCCCATTTCTCATTCTTTCTTAATCCTCATATAATAGCTAGTGTTGGCATTGGCCTCCAAGATGTGCATAAGCAAGCCGTTTGCAAGAATGTGATGAATAGTCTGACCAGGGATCAATACAGAAACCGCCTCAAAGATACTATTTTCACTATAATTATCATTTCACAGAATAACAGAAATTTCATCTATTTCTTTGGGGGAAAATCAAAATTAAAAACAATCAAAGCACAGTATTCAGGAGTTTGGATATCTTCAGCAAGCAAGCCAGAAATGGTGTGCAGTTGAATGACCTTTGGATATTGCCTGTTTCAACAGTTGTACTCTCCTCCATGTTGTCAGAGAGTATCACTTCATGGTAAGGTTAGTATCCCATCTTCTCCACATTATTCAATTGAGGGAGACTTCGAAGACTGGGTAGTCTGCAGTAGCAGGCAACTGTTCTCCCTCTATCCCACTTGCTGCCCCTCTTATCTGTCTGCCAGATGGAGAGCTTAATTCTCTTTCAGCACCTTCCTTTTTAAACTTCCATCTGTACTGCTATTGCTTTCTGTATCTAGGATCCATAGGCTGGGAGACATTGGATATTTTCAACAATGCCACTCCCTCATCTTGCTCATCTTAATGTCCACAATGACAAATATAAAAATAATTTTAAAAATGTCTGGGGGATTTGATGTGTATCAAGCAATATGCAAGCAGGCACTTTACATACATTATTTTAGTTAATCCTCTCAACATCCCTGCACAGTAAACATACAGATCAGGGAAAAGTATCTCAGCAACATGAAATAATTCACTTTCAGATACACAAACAATAGGAAGTAAAGCATAGACACAGAAAGAAGACAACAGATCAGTAGGGTCAGCACAGACCTTGGAGATGCTTCTTTCTGGAACTCTCTGAGGCAAGTAATGTTACTCCAATGTCCTCACAGCTGCTAAATCATTATTATTGAAATGTATACTAATATTTTCAGAAATAAATGTGTTGGACACAACACATTTTAGAGAAAACTTTTTTGCTCATGAAATTTAACTTGTCTCTACCTCTGAAATGACAAATATTAGATATGGAAACATCACCAGTATCTTAGTTTTCCTAGATGTTAATAATAAGTAAGGTTTGTTTTGCTTTTTATCATGTAACAAATGTCTTATGATATAAGAATATTTTTAATTTTTCCAACTATAGACTTTTGGAACTTAAAGATTGCTCTGAATTCACTTGAATGGTTGGTTGAGATGTGGTTCCACCATTAATGTGACATATCCCTTTTCTTTCTAAAACCTTTTTCCCCTACACTTTTGACTCAAGTTTAATAGTCTGGGACCAAGAAAGCCTAAGTTAATTGTTCAAAGTGCCACCACTAGTTAGTGAGAGGAAGAGAATGAAAAGCAGAGCTCTTGGTTACTAGGAAAAATTACCAGGAAAGGAGAATTTACTTCAAATAATCAAGTAGAGGATTGAGACAACTACCCAAACAATTTGTCTCATATAAATTTTACCAGCTCTTCAATTATCCATTTTCTCTTGCTTTTGAATATTTTCTGACGCATTAATTTTCTATGTGAACAGAACTTTTAGTCAGCTTAGATGTAGGGAACATTCCCCATTCAGGGCATCTGCCTGCAACTTCAGGCATGATTCTCGAAAAGCTTTTCTCTGCTTTATTCTTGTTTTTCTAGTGGAATCAAATGAAGCAAGAAGAAAGAAAGAAAGAACACAAATTCTCTCCCCCTGTGGCTCCAGAGTGATTCCAGAATCTTTATTTCATAAAAGTGAATATCAGAGAAGCTCATATGGATAAACCTAAAGATGAAATCCCTCCAATACAAAAAG